AAATTTGCATGAAAAAGAACCCCCCTTCTACACCCAACCCCCCCGAATTATATCCCCCCTCCCAAGATACACCGCCTGAAAACCCCCCCCCTCCGAGCGGCCCCTTCCCAAAAACCCCCCTTTTGGCCGGCCCCCCCCCCCCCGCCCCCCCTCCGTGGGTCACCGATCGTCCCAGCATGGCTCTTCAGCCTTGAAAAACGTCATCTTGTCGCGATTCGCATTTTTTTATCAACAAAATGTCTTTAACAAACCGTTAGAACTGTTTTAGCCATTTTACTGATTATAGGGAGTACATTTACATGCCCTACTGCTTGCAGACAGACCTGACACTCACCATTTTGATTCTTAACTGTTTGTGAAACTTGAAGCAGAAGAACAGTTAGAACACAGATGGCAGCGAGAATTCCTGGTACGAATGAAAACACGTAACGGACATAATCCCCACAGTCTTTACAGTCTTCAGAGTTGCTGAAATGAAAATGCCAAAAACCAACTGTTTGCTTATATCTTCTATCTAGAGAAAACGTCTCTGTTTCCTCTTAGTCATTTTTGGCAGGGAAATAATTGTACGGGTGGGGGGGTGGGGGATTAACTATACCGGAAGGCTCCGTCCGAATGGAGTACTTTTTTCAGGCTTCAGGTGCATGGAAGGGTGGGGATCTTACTAGCTGAAGTATATGGGAAGGGAAATCTTTCATTTCGGACTGTACAAAGATCCAAAAGGGTTAACAAATGCATTTTGTAGCTGTGGAAAAAAAAAAGAACAAACAAAGCAAAACTATTAACGAAAAAACGCAAAAGCTCCAGCTCCGTGTGTAATAATATGAATATAATGTTATATCATTATATGTAAGACCCTGAAGAAGGAAAGCCGTGCCTTCCGAAATATTGGTAAAAATATATTCCCGACTGTAAAATCAGCCTTGCTTCTTTTGTTTTATATTTTCACTTATTGCTGATTAGATCCTTTATTAGGATCAGGTCGTTCTTTTTTGTAAGCTGGTCCTTGCTTAAAAAATTGAATATGTAGGCATAAATTATGGGGTAAACAAAACAAACAAGCTAAAGAGGTCTATTACGCATGAAATTATACGCAGTAAGCGGTTGCGCAGTGCAATAACAAGGAGGGCGACAAGAGGAACCTTCAATCCAAAATCTCCAGGTTGCTATAACACATGTACGGCAAGTGTGAAGTCAGCTTCTTTAAGTTTGGACTTCCACTAAGAATGAGTGGAATGCACAGAACGCAATCTGATCAACCGTGTTTGGGGTTGGGAGCAAGAACGTTTTGACCTTGCAATTGGGCCGTTATCGCCCACTCTTATATTATTGGTTATATTATTACTAGTTAATACAGTAGCTTTTTTTAAATATTAAGTTACCTTTCTTGGGGGAATAGTTTCTGAATAACACCGAATAATGAACCTCCAGTCGCATTTGCCATGAAACCCATAAAAGCAAACACGACGCCAGATGTGCCCTGCAAATTCAAAATTTCTCAAGTAAAAATGTGAAGACCTAAAAAGGGTTTTTAAATGAAATTCAGACATCCAAATATTTGCTGAAAAAGCGAAGGACAGACACTGAAAGTTTTCTTGGAATTCACAACTTAAGAACCTAAATCTGACGTTCCTCAGTTAGTGAAGGTAGCTTTTTCCCTTGCAGTACTACCCTGGGAAATTTTCCACTGAGGCTCTCATGGTAAAGTGAATGAAGAAGAAGAATGAGAAAATTAAACGCCCTATCAAAATGCCTTATCTTTGAATAAAAGGGTCGTTAAATCTTCCCATGTTGGAAACTGCAGATAAACATATTGTATATCCCTTATTAATACATGTAGTTAGTCTTGTAATTAGATATTTGTGATTATAGTGATTGTTCTCGGGTTACAATTTCTGATCGTGTACAAGAACGATATATAGTGCGTTGTGTAAAGCTTCACGAGGGTTTAATACCAGAGCGTCGATCACTTTGGTATCCTCTTCTTCAAATGTTGAGTAGATGATAAGTTACTTGTCTATTTATTTTTTTATCTTTTTTCAAAAGTTAGCTTGACTTCATTTTAATAGAGTCAGTGTTTTCACTCACTCATGTGGCCAGCAGCTACTCTAGTTTATCGGAGCCCAAAAAGCGTCTTTTTTTTGCGTTTTAAGAAAAGAGTTCAACACCCAGGCGGAGGATTGTCATGATACGTCAACATGGCCACCGTTTCAGAGTTGCTTTGGAACACCAACATGATGGCCGCTGTGACGTCATTAGAAAACAACTGTTCATTTGACTCCCTATAACTCGAACCTTCAAGGCAAATCGAAAACAGTTGGAGTTATCGGGAGTTCGAAGCAAATAATCAGAAATATAAAGGAAATGGGATGGAGAAGCAATGCAAGTATGATGCACACTTCACAGCACAGCGCTAAAACATTGTATTTCAATTGGACTGACGAAAAAGTAAAGACAAAGACACAATTGTTTTGAACAAATTTTAATGTTTTGCACTGCAGTTCGCTGCTTTTTTCGACTTGTCAGACGCTTAAACATGGTTCGAGTTATCGAAGGCAAAATTGTAATAGAAAAGATCTGAAGGGAAACAACTTCTAGGTAGCCGGAGAATCGCGTTATCGTGGGTTCGAGTCACCAAGGGTAAAATTACAGTAAATGTATGAAGGAAATCCAGGGGAAATCGATTTTGGTTCGTCAGTTAGCGCGAGGTTCGAGTCGTCGGGAGTCGACTGTATTTATAGCACGTTTACAATAGTCTTTATTACGCCGTTTAAATGGTCGACTCTTAGATACTAAGCCCCGGTTGTTCAACGCTGGATAACGCTATCTACTGGATAAATCGTTATTATCAAGCAGGTAAGTATCAGGGAAACCAATTGCGTTATCCACTGGATAGAGATTTATTTGGTGGAATTAAGCGCCATCCACCTGTTGAAAAACTTTGAGCCTGGCCAAAAAATAAACCACCATTCAGTAGATACATGTGTTAGGAAAACCAATTGCACTTAAACCAGGGGATAGAGATTTATTCGGTGGATAGCACTATCTGCGTTTTTTAAAACAACTAAGGTCAGATGGAAGCATTGCTAAGTAGGCTCTATTTGAACTTGTAACTTTGGACGTCATAATGTTGAGGGACGTGATAAGCTCACCTTGTTGTCCCCAATAAGTTCTGCTGCAAAGCTAAGGGCAGTAACAAACATTATGGAAAACCCAGATCCTAGCAAAACAACTGCAGGATATGTCATCACTTTGTTTGACTGGGTTATGAAATAAAACCATACACCAGCTCCAATCACGAATAAGGCAGATAGAGTAAGCAAATTCTGAGGAGAAAGAAAATCAATTAATAGCAGGTTAAACTACCCCCTACGTATTTAGAAGACTGTCGTTTTGATAACAAAAACTCTACATAACAGAGATATACATGGATCTCCTTTTATAGGTTAAAGCCAGCGATCATAGGCCACCATTTTCTCCATTTTTTGTCTCAGCCTCGCTTGAGCGCGCTGTTTTATGAAAGCGAGTCTCCTTGACGTCAACGATATCAACAGATTGTTCCACATGGTCCGCATATTATTACTAAGAATAACTCTTTCGAAATTATATCCCCGCCAAGGTCTCCAGACTCCCTCTCTAATTATTTTCTCTTGGTTAAGGATGGCATTATGTCGAAACATAGAAGGCTTCTTGTTCATATTAAAGAAAAAAAAATTTATTGCGCATTAGTACGTTGTGTCAAAACAAGGGAATTTTTAACAACGTGATTCCGACGTGGCAAAGGACAGGACACACAGGTACTTCTGTCTTACCACAATTTACGAAGAGTAAGTGTTTTCCACGTGCCTGTACTGATGACGAGGGTCGAGTGCTTTAAAGCTCGTAAAGCGTTGTCGCGATATTGTGCCAACAATCTCTAATAGTCTGTACGAGAAGGTTNGGGGGCCCCCCCCCCCCCCCCCCCACCTATTTTTAGACCAAACTAAGGCTCAAAGGGCCCAAAAAAAATTTTTGTTGAGCGGGTCCCCCCTTTTCCCTATTGATTTCTTTCATTTTGAGCAGTAAAACACATTGATACGGAGGGCTGGTCTAACCTTGTTTCCGATTATTTTAACAAGTTTCTTTGAGATTCCTGAGGACACTGTAGCGCTGATCAACATCACAAGTGGCAGATATGCAATCGCATCCTGAAAAGGCAAAGTGAATGATCGATAAGATAAAGATTGTCCTACTGTAGCTAATTTTGACTCAGATTTCTTATCTTACGCCGGTAGCTTGAAACCTGAGACAAGTCCGACAGTGCGCTTACTTCGCCTTCCTTCTCTCCACCGGTGCTCCGTTTCGCTGGCTATTTAAAGCCTCTAAAGCGACACGGAAATTAAAAAGGGAAGAATTCGAAAAAAGGATTTGAGGTTACTGCTGGGAATCGAACTCGGGACCTTCCGCAAAGCAGGCCAGGCATATTAAGTACTTGCGGCGTTTTAACCAAAGCTTGCAGCACTATTATTGATTACTAGGTAATAATGTACCCGCTGATGCACTTATAATAAGAATAATATAACAAGGATTAAACCATTAAAACGTATAGCACTTTAATATAGTCAACATGACATGGATAATGTCCATAGAGATTGCATAGAAAGACACAGGGCCACAAAATAGTGACGGCCTGCGAGGCCTGAAGAAAAACACATTAACATAATTATGTACACTCACCTTCCCAAAGTCAACGCTGTAAATAAGAAACAGTGGCAGATACGCGTAGGCAACGTCTTGTAAGACTTTTGTACAAGCGAATATGATTGCTACCTTAATGTATGAAAAAATGAGATAATCAGTTAAAGAAGATGATTTAAAATTTCCAATCAATACTTTGTGCCTTGAATGCATGTATGTACAATAGGGTAAAATAAATGAATAAATAAATACGTATTTAAATAAATAAATAAACACAATTGCATATATATCTATATTGCGCCTGCCATGCCTCATGGATATACGATCACTTGCGCATTACAATAAGCAAAAATTATATAAAAGCAATTAAAGCACAAAAAAACTAATTCACATACTAAATGAAATGGAAGTTGAAAAGACTATAATCACCATGTAAAGACGTGGATCCTTGAGCCAGGCTCTTATTGTTTTAGGCGGAAGAGCAGATTCAGGATCGTCTGACACAGCTGACAGCCTTTTGCAATTACTTGTAGTTAGTGCGTTTACATTTATCTTTGTGATTTCAGGATCTGGGAAGCTAGGACATATTTCCGTTTCACTGCACTCAAGTCCTTTATTGTCGACACCAAGCCGAGAACTGGAACAAGCATGGGAAAAGATGTCTTCTGCTTCTTCTTTTCTTGAGCCGTTAGGACCACTCGAGCCTTGTATCTCTGTACACGAAATGGGCCTTTTATTTCCATTACATTCCCCTGACTTTTCGACGGTGACTTTGTCGGATACTTGTTCATCTCTATCGGTGTCTAACCCCACCAGACCGTAAACAATGCTCAAGAGAACGCTTATTTTCCGTTCTTGTGGTAATTGTTTGACATCATTCAACACTTCGTCATCATTTTGAGTCCTTGATTCAGAAGAAGGAGATGAATGTACTTCTAAGCCCTTGGAAACTGTTCCCATCTCTGCCTCGTTTACAGAAGGGGAAGCATCCTTTCCGTTATTTTTCTCCTCTTCATCTTGAGCAAAAAGGGCGCTGATAAAGTGCCTCGCGAAACTTTTTTTCCTCGCAGGATTGCCTTCCTCGTTGACTGAGTCTGTAGCCTTTAGAGTCCCAAGGAACCTGTCTCGAATAGCTTCCTTCTTATGCGTATCTATCACATAAATCAATGAAAAAGTAAAAAAAACACCAAAATATTTATATACTTAAATTTGATTTTATATATATGGATCTAAATTGCAATCCACTCTCAGTCTATATATCTGATGATACGAAACTGGTGCCAAAGCTTTCTTCATGGTCACACAACATAATTAACACAGCAAAGCCTAGCTGTCAAAACACCTTTAAATTATTTATTTGATAATTGTAAAAAAATGGCAGACACTATCTTACCTGTTCCCATGAAGGTCATCGACTGAACTATGAGATTTGAAGCAATGTAAGAGGACTTTCTCTGCGATAAATTTAAAACAGTTAAAGAGAACTACATATTGTTTTGGACTTAAATTCATCCATGCCTTTTTAATTAGCTCGTTTGGCGTCTTTTTAACCCCATTCAGAATGGGCTTTTTTGGGTTTTCTAGAACCGTGGTGGGAAAGGGAAGCTTGGAGATCATCCCCTATAACTTTAAAACCGCTAATTAAAGCCACCAAATTTACACACCATTATGATCCTGCATAATGTTATCACCGTTTTAAAATCCTCCTATATTTTTATTGTTGCAAAGGCGAAATGACGTCATTATGACAACAAATTGTTTAATACATTGGATGAACTCACATATGTATCACTATAGAATTCTTTCCACTAAAAATGCTAAATAAATCGGTAAGGTACTATAAAAATCTAAAATAAAATACTTCAGTTTTTTTAGTAGAAAAAAGGCAATAAATTGTTGCTAAACTTTTGGCTGTAATGAATCTCGGTTCCCGGAAATGTTGACGTAACGTCCGGGAATTTTTTTACTTTTTTATTTTTTAACTATGCTAAGTTTGTCACAGCTTCAACTGTTTTAGAATTATTCAATCATACAGTGAAATTGTATCGCGCTGTGCCTTATGCAAAATTCGAAGGAATTTGGGGTTTTTCTGTCCCGTCAATTCTCTTAGCGGACCTCTTAGGAAACACATGTTTACTTGCACGAGCTCAAAAGGTCCTCGTTTGTGATTCGTGATTGGTGGCTTTCGATCCGTTTCGTTTGTTTCGTGTTTCAAGGGCGTTGCTTTGTGATCGTCCTGTTTCGGGCAATAATCGACTAGTTAAGTTTGCTTCGCAGATTTTCTGATCTTTTTTATTCTTGTCCGGCTTGCAAGAATAAAGCAACGTCTGCCTCCTTCCTTCGACAAAAATTCCGCTCACCATCGCGATTTACCTTTGCTATTCTTGGGCAGTCTATAGAGTCATTCTCATCCGATGCAAGCTGGGCGAGCGCGTTACATTTTGATTTGCATTAACCCAAGGGAGGCAGCGTGACCGAGTGGTCAGCGCGTCGGACTCGCAATCCGGCGGTCCCGAGTTCGAGTCCCGCTCTGGCCACTTGCTGGATTTGTGCTCGGTCGTCCCGAGTTCAAATTCTCGGCCATGCTTGTAAATAGCCAACTGGTTGCCTTCTGCCAGTTGGGGTTTTTAATCCTGTTATGTTGTATTTGAATTATTTGTTTCTAAATATTTGAGTGGAGTGCCTGTAAATTAGCTGACTAGCTAAGTGCACCTTCCACTATAAACATGCCTTTAACCTTTTAACCTTTTAACCCGCCTTCGCTCAAATGATTGACGGAACAGAAAAATCCTAAATCCCTTCGAAGTTCTCAGGGCGCGGCGCGATACAACGAATTTCGCTGTAATATTGAGGGTATTCTCAAAATTGCACCCTTCCCCTGACCCCCGAGGGTTTAGAGAAAAGTAAACCTCATTAAAAGGTCTGATTTGAAAAGGTTTAAAACTTATGCATTTAGATGTAAAGTATAAACAAGCTATCAAGGTTATTTCATCATTAAATTATGCTATCTGGCTTATTATTTTCGCATTGCTTTCTGTAGTGTCTTTTAAAATTCTGACAGTTTTGGTTACTTATTCATTAGATTAAAACTATCTAGTTAAACTACTTGATAATCTACTACTATGAAGACAGAGATCTTTGTCACCCTATGTAAAGCTGGTATGTATTAATAGAGTGACAGATAAATAAATTTATTGCATAGTCCCTAGGCCTCGTTATTCCGCGCGGCTTATGCGTTTCGAGTCACGTGGTCAAATCGAAGAAGTCAGGCCTAGACAAAAATTCTCAGAAGTGAGACAAAAGTGAGATATCCCATGCGATGGTTTTCAAGACCAAAGTTTCGCATTTCAAAGTTAAAAATGTACCGTTAAAAAACACAAATGGGAAGGGAGAGTTCAAAAGAATATTCAGCCAGGTTTTTTCACTGGACAAAGGAAAGATTCTCGTTACAAATTTGTCCTTCGAGGAATTTGAGGTTTTTCTTCACGGCGGAGCTTTTTGCCTGTTTTGAAACACAACCAAGCAGAGAAGTTTTGAAGAATTTTCGCTTCACACAGCTAATGAATTTTATTTGAAAGTGTAATTTTTTTCTGATTATTTAAGATTTGTACTCTACTTGCTCTAAGTTTATTACACACGGTGTCAATGAAGTATCCTTTTTGAAGTGAATGCTTTAAAAATTCGCGCAAAACATATTTAGTTAGAATGAGAAGTCGAATGATAAGATTGAAGGAGCAGAAATCAATCTTCACAGGACTATGAATGAAAATTCTGATGGCTTTTCAAAGTCGGCAAAAGTCGATCTACAAACTATTTAGCAAATATCTAGAAGGGTTTTTTAAATCATGAATAATTGCTTGCTGTTTGCAACGTCTTGAGCTCCAGAAAGTCCGACTTTTCCGACGCACGCTTGCGCATTCTGTTTTTGTCTAGGCGCTTCCCGCCTGTTCGCCTCGGATACGTCACCGAAGGCAATTGACCGAGAAGGCTTGGGAAAACGCCGTAAAGGGACTAGGCAAGATAACTTATATCGGAGCTCTTGCGCGCGCGGAGGGCATGCAGCGAAGCACCATGGGTAAGAAATTTGTTAATCTAAGCATCCAAGAAATTTTGGTAATCACGTGATCATACACACGCCCGTCCATACCACAGACATACCAATGTAAAATAAGTCAATTAACAGGTCTTGCAACCCAAATGCAACACGAGGGAAATGGCATAGCCATGCGGACTTTTAAGAGACAAAAACAACAATAACAAACTGGGTCGAGTCCGACTAAGTTTAAATGTCTTTACTGGCGTGGATAACAGAGAAAGAGCTAAAAAACAGAAGAGACGAATTTGGTTGGAAGAAAAACATGAAAATTGGCAGTGAGAAAGTGAGTAATGCTAGCGGCCAATAAGGTGAAAATAGGCGCCGGCAGTGAAAAAAAAAACGAACAGGAACGCCGGCAGCGCAACTTTTGGTGAGCACATACGACATTTCCTTCATAAGATACGTAACTGAAAAAGTTTCATGTTGTAGTCGTGCAAAACAACTCCAAATAAATGTACAAAAAAGTGTGCTGCACGTGCAAAGTTGTTATTGTTGTTGTTGTTGTTGTTTTTTATTGGCTAATTAAACCTACTGATTTGTTTTTTGTTGCCGTCGTCGTTAAGCATTACACGATTTTATTCTTTTGCTTGCCGATGGGTAAATTATAAACATATTAACGAGAGCTTCGCTTTTCAAAGCCCTGGCTAAATCTATATATTAATACGGCTTATGGCCCTTACGTGTGCCTACGTCAGACGAGCAATTTCACCATCGTGCCTTACAATGCAAAATGACAGTTCCGAAACTGAGCTTGGTGGCTTGCCTAACGAAAACTTGCATAAGGGTAGGCTAACTAAACAGCCAACCTTTCGCAAAAGGCCACCACTAGTTTTCTCGTGAAATGACGTCTGAGGAGCAAGTGCAGAAATTCCATACTGATGACGTACCACCACCTTTATCTGGGCTGAGTGCTTCTGATTGGTAGTTCCACCTGGTAACTATCATCAACCAATAAAAAGAGCTATCCAGATCTAGATGGGCAGTAAAAGGCGGACAGTATGGAATTTCTGCACTCTTTCCTGAGACTTCATTTTGCAGAGAAGCCAGTAGTGTCGCACTAACTGTCGGCTATTTTCTCAGGCTAGCATATTAGGTCTATTATATAACTAGCCTCCCTCACAGCCGTTTTTTTTTTTTTGGTCACGTAACGCTCCTCTCCAACGTTGCGTGACGAGACAATAAACGTCTGCGAGGGAGGCTGACTTGATGGTCTCTAGCAGTTTTCTCTAAGGAAATTCAAACCTTACCACAATGCCTGCAGCCGTCACAGACAACTTTTTGTTGATTTGACACGAAGGCTCTTTGGTTCCGATGTGGAAAATCAGACAAAACAAGAGACCAATTCCAACCAATATTAAAGACATGACCTGAAAAAAAGGAAGCAAGGAAAAAGTTTTATAACTTTGTAACGGATGAAGCTCAGTCACTGATGTCCATACTATTAATAATTACCGTGAAATCCATTGCATTTTCTGCTGTTAGATGTTCGCTATTGTCTTGCCCGAAAATAGCCCACGCCACAACTAAGGTTAGGATACCACTCAGGAAAGAAAAAGTGGTCCTTTAAAAAAAAATAAAACGAAAGAACAAAAGATGAGTGTTGGAACATGTCAATTTTGGATGTCTTATTAGTAACTGAGTTCGTAGTACATGTTGCATGGCCGCTTTGTTAAGAAATCTTAAAAAACTTTCAAATGGAAAAATTTTACAAACATTCACATTTCCCTCAAACACTGATATTCTTGATTTAAATTCACCATTTTTGTCCCCCCAAAAATGCAAAACAAAGTTCCATCAATTTCGCCGTAACAGCCGCCATATAAATTTATGTTGCAAGCATCTAAACAATAGCAAATAGCACCTGTTCCCTAATATCTAAAACGCAAATAATGAGAAAGTGCAATTTGACTCTGCATTTTGTTATTTTCATGTTTGAGTCATTGAGAAAATGACAAACCTCCATGCGCTCATTTCCACAGCTTCGCTTTGATTTTTAGCGATGACAGGAAGGAAAGAAAAAGTGGTCCTTTAAAAAAAAAAAAAACCAAAGAACAAAAGATGAGTGTTGGAACATGTCAATTTTGGATGTCTTATTAGTAACTGAGTTCGTAGTACATGTTGCATGGCCGCTTTGATAAGAAATCTTAAAAAACTTTCAAATGGAAAAATTTTACAAACATTCACATTTCCCTCAAACACTGATATTCTTGATTTAAATTCACCATTTTTGCCCCCCGAAAAATGCAAAACAAAGTTCCATCAATTTCGCCGTAACAGCCGCCATATAAATTTATGTTGCAAGCATCTAAACAATAGCAAATAGCACCTATTCCCTAATATCGATCGAGAACCTAAAACGTAAATAATGAGAAAGTGCAATTTGACTCTGCATTTTGTTATTTTCATGTTTGAGTCATTGAGAAAATGACAAACCTCCATGCGCTCATTTCCACAGCTTCGCTTTGATTTTTAGCGATGACAGGAATGATCGACAAATGTCCGACGTTCATAAGAGCGCCTCCAAAGGCTAGAATGGTGTTGAGCACACCAATATATACCATCCGCTGCCATTGTCCTCCATCGCTCTGGCAGGGGAAGCAAGTGCTAAAAAACAAAGGTATAAAGACTGCTTCCACGATATTTGCTATCAGAAGCCAGCTTTTTCTTCTCCCCAGCTTCCGGGACAGAACTGGAATATTCATGCTGTCCACTAGAAAGGCGCAAAGAGGGGAGAATACCACGTGAGTCAGTTCCTTCTGAAGAATTAGCAACCCAGCGTTAGCCGCAGAGAGGCTTAGAACTTTCATGAAGAAAACAAGTGTGAAGGAAAAAACGAGCTGACGAAATATGTCATCGATCACGTGACCCACACCACAGCAAAGGCGTTGAATTGCCGGCGTCCCAGAATTCGAAGCTGGCTCCATAAAGTAACGACAGCACAATATCCGCATCTTAACTGACACCTGCAAATAACGTTAGGAAAACAAAGTATTGCTAATTGGTTTCGATATGGTTTTGTTCAGATTTATTGAGTACGTTTAATTAATAAATTGCAATTATGCGAAAGTGAGCGGACTCTTCACGTTCCTGTATAATAGGCAAGTCAAGTCATTTCCAACCACGTTGTTAACCCCTTCACTGCCAGAGTGTTTGATGGAGTTTTGTAAGGCGAGTCTAACTTTTGAGTCTGTAGACGAAATCCTATAATGTGACCATTCAAATGAAAGCTCTCCGCCTGTACTTTCATGTGGTGCTATTTTTTTTTGTCAAAATTTTAGAAAATGAAATTTGGAAATTTGGTGGAAATTTGCCTTTGGCCACAGTTGGCAGTGAAAGGGTTAACAGATTTATCTATTAGATTTCTGCACCGGCATTTCTTGAGCCAGCTGCCCGAACCTTTTCTCTTCAATAGCGTTTTTTGCTAAGGACCAAACTTTGGCAGTCGGCTTAATTGTTAAATTATATCGCGAATAAAGTGACGTGAGAAAAATGGGCCATGTAATAATTTTAAAACAAAAACCAAGCAGAAATTTGAACTTTCCGATCCAAAAAGGCGGCATATGTTGAATGGGTTTCAAGCATACAGAATTTTGCTTTGTTTTTTGTTTTGTTTTGTTTTGTTTGTTTGTTTGTTTTTTTTTTTCACAATGGCAGGTCTAGATGGTGCAAAGATTTTTGTTCAGTTAACGTTGTCATGGTAATATCAATTTTACATAAAACATTTTTACATTTTTTAAAAGGTCAGTTAGTGCTGAAATTTTTATGGCCATCGGACCCGGATAAAAACGTTTTTAAGGCGATTGAAGAATACTCGGTATGGTCTCCGAAAAACTGTATCGAAACACCTTTTAAGTTTGACAAGTAATTGAGGAGTTTCGGTTTATCAACATGAAATGTTTCAGAGAAACAAATTTTAGCATCGATTTTATTATCAGATTAATTTTATACCATAACTCATAATAACTACAAAACACATTTGTTTAGACTGACTGCAACTCTACGCAAAAAAGGTTCACCACTGCTTTAAGGATTATCACATTTTTTTTTCTGTTATCCATTTTGCTTTCTTCTATTGCTTCTTTGTCCTTGAGCGACCATAGCCATCCAGACAGAAACACTGACAACATTAACAAATGACGGTATTCTTTCAACGAAATTCTGTCTGCTCAGTTTGGCCTACATACACAATCAGTACCTGCAACCACAAACTAATGAATTCCAAATTAATTAAAAATAGTACAAGAAAGCTCGTATATGTTTGTTTTAACATGTCTTTCGCTCGGTGTAAAATTGTTTTAAAGTAAGGCACTTTTGTCAGTCGAAGCATGTGTGGTGAGACACACAAAAAGTTCTTTTCTTTTCTTTTCTTTTCCCAATTTTTTTTTTGAGGATCGTTGCTGTTCTGTAATGACTATTAACACCTCGAGTGTGTGAAAAAGACTTTTCCGTGAAGCTAGGAAAAGGTAACTTAATTCATTGCTCAGTTTATAATTAGGAAGAGATGGCTTAACTGTACAATCGTCGGGCTTTTAACAGATTAAACGATTGCGGTTCACAGAAGATCGAGAAGAATTTGATCTGATGAATTAAAGTCTAACAACAGGGTTGGGTACTCACCTTTAGAAACGAAGTCTATTATGTTAATCGTTCAAGTGTTAGTTTACTTCTTGGTTGACTTCTTTAAGCCTCTGAAATTCAAACGAACGAACTTCGTGTCCAGCTGTATATTAGCGTTTAGGAGAAACAAATCGAGCCAACGGTTTCGCCCTTTATGTATTGCCTTTTTTGTTTTGCTAGAGGAAGTCGTAATACCACCACATTCGAGTTTGTTTTTAATGTTTTTAGACTAAGAATGAGCTACTAGCTCAGTCTACGTGTCTACGTGTATTTATCATAACAATGACCAAGCAGCCATCCAGGTACAGCTTTCCTTTTTTAACAACACAAATAGATATCGGTGCTCTTTTAACTTAACCGGATTGTTAACCAAACACGTGCTTTCTTAAGTGCCATTGTGCTTTGTATTCTTAATCATTACCATTAACTCATCTCAAGCTCATATATATAGCTCCATATAGCTAACCTGTATCAAGATTAAATGATTCATCAACCTTGTTCATTTTTCTCGTTTCAAATTTACCAGTTTATTTTGCGGCGAGTCTATATATATAACATCAGTGGCACGCGCCTACCAGCCGTGTGCAGTGAACAGAAACTCGAAGCATCCGCTCTGCCGGTAATTAGGAGGGTGGACCATTTGATTGAGAGTGGATGACTTTAAAAACCATGCCGATTAAATCGTAGAAACTGTTTTTGATCCTGCTATTAAATATTCTATTTTAAATATTCTATTTAAAATTATAAGCGGTTATCCTGGGACCACACTGACGACATTAAACGGGTTTTATGGATGTGCTGTTTCATTCCCGCTGAAGACCGTTACTTTTCAGTCTTTTTATTTTTTTAAATCTTTATTTGAAAGTCGACTAATAATATCAATCGTTATGATAATTTCGAAATTTTTATTTTGAGCAATAATAATAACAATAAAACAAGTTCTTTCAGTTAACGCTCTTTGATTTTGGTTTCCCTTCATCCTGGTGAACACAGATCAGGACTGCCGCCTTCACATGCACAATACTTTTGGGTGAAAAAAGGTTGGAATAGCCTCAACGAACCATCGACATTTTAAAATTTCTACAAGACACTGTCGCACATATCAAGGACAAAATTAAAGAAACTTAAAACTGGCTTTGCAAGCCAATCTCAATTGGAAGCTACGGTGCTGTGCTGTCAAGGTAAAGAAGAGCCCTGACAAAGAGCAGGCTTGAAAAACTCTAGATCGACCACTCGGCTATTATTAATAGATCTTGTTTGACGTTCTCATATTATGACAATTAGGTCTCTAACCATTCCCTCCAAAGACCAAGTTATGGCGGAAATACTTGATAATTTGTTACTTTAACTCCTAAATCTGTGAACGAATTCACAAAAGTGTTTGCATTGAAATGATACTCAGACTTAGAAACAACTTTAGCATATTACGTTTTTTTTTTTTTGGCTTTGTTTGAAAATCCTAGCGACTTAACAAGTTTAACAAATATATTGAAAGTTCCTTTTTTTTACTATTATTTTTGAAGTTTTTGCATTGATCACCATAAGCTGGAGCCAGGGGTTAAAGGTTAAAATTTTGATACATTGGTGTTTAAAATTCCACGTGGAGCACAACCAAAACTAGGCAGTGGCATTGGCCCACAATGGCAGTTAAAAGTTCCTCAGGAAATTGTGATGAGTGCCAAGTTCCTATGTCAATGACGCAAGAGGCGCCGGATACATTACTCCACCCTGACGTATTAGGTGATTGTATGACAAGCCATTAAAATGGAAGCTGAATCTTTCAGCGACATCATAAACCGCCTGCAGAAATTACAGACTCTTCAAGGTAAGATTTTTTTAAAGCGAACCATCTCTTCATATATTGTTGCTAGTATGTGTCAGTGTGCGTTTATTTTTCTCATATTTGTTCAGTGTTTTTATCAAACTAACTTTTATGATTAACATTGTTTGACTACGATAATCTCTGTACATTGGATGGACCGTTTTATAACAGTTTTAATTGAGGAACAAATGCATTCTGGAAGAGATAATTAACTCAATTTGAAGACATTTGATCAGCTACTGCTTGCCACGAATCAACTAAAGCACCACACTACATTTTGGGTGGAGTCATTTGTAATGAGTTAACCGACGATTTTTTTTCTGTTAATACATAATTAACTTTACCATCTCCTTTGCAAATTATTCGATCACTCACAGCCACACGTGAATCAAACCTAACCATTAACTTAAGTAAGAGAAATCCAACTTTAATAGCCAGTCGATAGGTGTTTTTTCTCCATTTCCTGCACTAAGTAATACCCTTGAAAAGGATCTCCTATCCAGAATTTTTCATACTTGACACATTACAGCCACATATAGGAAATTGAAAACCTTACTGTAATAAAAAGATGGGTTCCCGTAATTCTAGGGGTTTTTTTCCTAGTTGCGTACAAAATGTTTCAATGACTTGTACAACGGTAAAAAGTCTTAGACTATAAATCTTACTTATTAATAAACGTTTTCAGCAGAGGGATATTGCAAAAAATTTTTAGAAAAAAAAATGAACAGTTTTAACATTATCTTATACTTTTAATTTCTGTGCATGGCTCCAAATACGGAGTTGCACGTCCTTCATATCTATCTTGAAATGACGCAACTTCTACTCTCCAAATTTTTTTCTCTTTAAAACACGTATTTTTCTTGTAGCCTTAACGAGTAAAAAAAAACACTTGCAATAAAAGAGAAAGGTCACTCTTCTTGAGCCGTTCCAAAAACAAACAAACAAAAAAACAAAACGACGATTTCGGCTTCAAATGATCCTTTTGCGCAAAGGGATTGGGGCAAATTTCAAGACCAGTCGGGAAGAGCTCTCACAATCGCTATTAAAACCATCTTGCCCCTGTTGTTTAAACTGTGGATAGTGCTTTCAATCGGATAAATCACTATCTAGCGGATAAATATTAGGGAAATGAATTGCGTTATCCGCTGGATAGTGATTTATCCAGTGGATAGCGCTATGCACCTTTCGAACAACTGGGGCCTAGACTACGAAAGAGGCCTTTTGTTACCTCTGATCTCTTTAGGCGACCGGCGAAAAACCCCGTCAGCTTCATGATGATAACGCAACGTTTTGCGCAGTGGGTGTCATGCCCATGGGCAGTGCAAAACAACAGAACTATTTTTTTTATAATTAGTGACCAACTAATGCCAAAAACGCGAGGAAATTAGCGACTCACCCTACTTCAGTTTAAACGCCCTTTTGAAGTCATAGGTTATAAAGATATAAAATATTGCAAGAGTTTTTTTGTCTATGAATCCCATATCATGCATCCAGATTCTCAATTTCATGTATATATATCAAAGAATGGTTATAAATTTAGTTTTAATTTCATGATGTGACAGTAAAAACTAGCAGGTGTCGATCATATCTCTCCTTGAATGAATTTTAACTCATAATAATGAATAGAAAGCGGCACCACAAGAACATTAGCGCTGCCCGTTCTAGATCGATTATAAAATTATGAATCCTTCCAAAATGTTTTGGAGGCTGGGCGTAGTTTTTTGATTGACGGTTGGTGCTCATCCAGAGATAGTTACCCTGCTTTAAAGCTTACCGGAGGGAGGGAGGGAGGGAGGGGGTATACATCTCCTACCATGTCAGTATAGTGAGCATTTGACTTTAAATAATTCATCTGCCTGCCATTTTCCAGTTCATAAACTGAATGTGAATGGTCTTTAAATCCAATCATACGAGTGTATCGTTCACAGACTGAATTAAGTATTTCTCATTGGTCGCCCATCCGTGAAAATACTCTAAACACTCTAAAGGACGGTTGGTTCCAGGGGTTCAGATAGTAAAGCGCAAGCGAATAATTGACGAGGAAAAAAAAAAGAACAAGGGAAGGTTAGCTCTCTCCCAGTCTTTCCTCGTTATTTCCCTCTCGTTTTTCCCTCGTGCGATTTAACTCGTCTGAACGCCGCGCTGTAACTATCTGAACACCTGGAACAGGCTAAGGCTGACGTGAAGTCAGCAAAGGCAACAAAATGGTTAACAAGATTAATTTTAATTACTAAGTCATCAGGTGACTTTAGTTAGCGCATTCTGTGGAACTGTGGTTAGGGAAATTGAAAAAAGAAAAAAAACTTAATTAAACCTCTAGTTAATGATGTTATATTTTTTTGTTTTCAGAAAATAGTAAAGCGATTTACTCTTATCATATGCGCCACTAGAGGACTGTGGAGAATAACGGGCCATATTCAAATCTAAACATGTTAACGTTATCCAAGGGCATCCCCATGGTTTTGAGTGTCGTAGGTTTAAAGGGAAACCGGAGGCAAACTCAAGCAGGAACAAAACATGCAAGTGTCAATGGTCATAACATTCTTGCACCGGTGTTTAGCCTACACGAGGAAGTTGTTTTAAGGATTTTAAGTTTCCTTCCTTTGAGTGACTTGATCCGGGTTTCTAGAGTTTGTCGATGGTGGTACAGATTGTCTTTCGATCGGTTTTTGTTTAAGAACGTCGATTTAAGGCCATTTGCCACGCGCCTTACCGATCCTGTAAAGATGGAATTGCTATTTACGAAGCGAATGGCTTCAATAGTACAGTGCCTCGATTTAAGTGGATTTAATATTTCGGGTGAAACTTTAAGGATACTTGCTTCTTCTTGTAGCCAACTCCGTGTTTTAAAACTTAAGAGTGTAACTTTTACACCTGGAACAAAAGGAAAAGATATTTTCCCTGAAAATCTCAAAGTTCTTGACATCCGATTTTCTCAAGGCCATCCGGGCGTGTACCGAGCAATTGCCACAAGCCTCGAAAACATCAGAAGCCTGAGACTCTGTGATGCTTTTCTTTATACTCTACTACAAGACGGAACATTGAAAACAACAATTAAAAACTTGAAATATTTGCGCGAGCTCGATCTTAGTCACTGCCATTTACTAGACGACAATACTTTGTCTCTGTTTACTTCTTGTAGCCGGCTGGAGGCCTTAAGTGTGCGCAAATGCTTTATGCTTACGGGCAGTTTTGTTAACGATTTTATACAGTCATGTGTTCATCTCAAGACTTTAATTCTTGATGGAATAAGTATCAGTGACAACACTTTGCAGAACATAATGTGGGATCGTTCAAACTTGGCGCATCTGGAGTTAGGATGCTGTCCGCTTATCTCTTCCCGCGCGTTAAACTTGGCCTTGAACCGAATAACAACCATTATCCATTCCCTAGAGTATTTAGGGCCCTGCTCAAATAAGGATAACAAAGCACTCGACGAAGAAACTATTCTTGAACTTGAAACAGGATTATCGAAAAGACGTGCATGTAAACTAACACTAACGTGGCTTAACCTCAGATGTTCGCAACTGGACATAACCAAAGAGTTTTCCTTTTACGAGGATTATCAGTCGCAAGATTTCTCAAGTTCCGAGTTCACAGCGGAAATGATGAAATACGCACCGGAGACTCTAGTTTGACTTTCAAGTCCCTTAAACTAAATGTAAGAGACTATTTAGGCAGCGTTTACACTTAGTGCCCGGGCACGGTGACCGAGTAAGGTACTCGCTGGGTGCACTAGTGTGAACACACTCTTTTTTCAAGCACCCACTTTTGAATTTAGGCACAATGCCGGTACCTGAGTACAAGGTCGAAATATGCCGTCAAATCCTGGACAAAATCCTCATCTGGTCTCGTCACAAATTCATGCCGTCGCGTCCTCTTCTCATCTCGCCAATTCATCGAGTCAACTCGTCGTCTTGTCAAGTTATCTCGTTGAGTCGTCGAGTCATCTCGTCGCGTCGTCTATATTACTTACAAGTCCATTACTCGTATATTCTTCAGTGATTCTTCAACTCGTCGTGTCGCACTTCAACTCGCCGTTCTCTATATCCGTATATCTTAGTGAGTGTAAGTCACATATTCATCCTATCCCCATGACTCTTTTTTTAATAATTTGCACAATCATTGGAGTTTCTGGTTCATTTGAAGCTCTGATTGAATTTTAGTGTACAATAAAGTTAAGGGGAAGGCCGTAGACACTTTCAGCTATATATGAGAATACTGATGAAACAAGATAAACCTGATTACTTACATCTGATTGTCAAGCTCGTTGTCTGACACATTAGTGAAGTCAACTTTTTTCAAATCAATTATATGGAAATTTGGATTATATTAATCGCAGCACAAAAATTAAGATTGCGATGTTGGTGTTTGGCAACTCAGGTTCAGTCAAAGTTGCAGTTGAGGGATGTAGAAAGTCACAAGAATCTAAATCTCAGTTAATAGGTAAAAATGCATGTTAATCATAAATATTTGCTATGTATTTCTCTCACTTGAAGACTTTGATCCCTATAAAACGTGTAAAAAATGTAAAACTGCATCATTTGATTGACCTTAAACTTCATATTGTACCGATGAAAATTACAAAGTCGTTCGCGTGGCCTGTCTGTCGAGCCACGCGAAAGAATTCGTAAACGCTAAAATTCATGCAAGGGAAAAACCACTGCTCGCGGGGTAGCTCTTTGCCATGATTTTCCTTTCTTGTAGGAACTAATAGGTGTTTCTTTAAAAATCTGCCAAGGTAGTGGTTGGTTTTGCATGAGGATTCACTTTTACTTTTATAGCTTAGACACCAAGGGCTGATATTGTTTCACGAAAGGCAAAATTTCTTTTTCTTCCTTGCCGTTCTGATTCAGGAGCGAATATTTCCAGTTTCTGTGAGTTTTATTTATTTCTAATCTGATAGCAATTTTGCTGTCAAACTGTGTTGGTAGCCTCTGTCCATCAAGCGCTTTTTTTTTTTTTGGAAATTTGAAATACTTTCCTCAAACGTTCTTTAAGGCAAAACATTTAAGGCTTTTCCTTAGTTTGTTTATAATGTGTCTTTACATCAAGGATAGCTTTCGCTGAATCCTGGCCTTTGTATACAACTGTGTCTAAAAATTTTGTCTCAGTGAATTTCGGTACATGGTGAATTTAATAGTAGAGTAATGTATTAACTTTTGGTTATTTTACCAAAATGAAAAACTTGTAGAAAATATGTTTTATGAATTGTTTTAGAGATATTAAGTATAGGTAATCACATGATGTCGAGTGCAATTTTGAATAAATAAGCACGAGTAAATTGTTCAAAGACTAACAAAAGTGCACGAGCCCATAGGGCGAGTGCACTTTGTGGTCTTTAAAACATTCCGACGCTGCCATCGATGGGTGAGTGGAGCCACAGTTGTTGTGATGTCGGAAACTGCCAATATTAATATAATATTTGCTTTTTAACAACGCTGGGGTTTTCATTATTTCATTTGGCCTACTGCAAGCGTCATCGTACCTCTTCTTCGTCGACTTCATCGTATTCAGGTTAAGGAAGTTTATACCTCTGAGGCCAGTGACATTGGTGATATGCTCTGAACTTACGACTTCTGCTTTCTTCAGCTTCCTGACTGTTGTTTTTTTGCACAATGATTCGTAAACTTTTTTCTCACTTTCTTTAAGGCTAGTAACGGCTACGGATACTTTCATTATGTTAGTTATGATATTTTCTCCCATTGGTTTAGTTTGTTTGGACCAGATGTTTAAATTTTCGATTTCGTTTGCTACTAAGGTAGAAAAAAACAGACCATCGCATGGATGTTTTAATAGAGGTCTTCGCTCCACAAAAGACTCAAAGAGAGCAACCGGAAACTTTTCTCCTCCAACAAATAAAGTACGTCACTTGAAATCCCTGTTGTTATCATGGAAAACTTGTATCTTTGTTCGTTTAAATGCCTGAAAAGTGTAGCTGTCATGGTTTGCGTGTTGTTGCAACAGTTTTTGTTCTTTATTTTTTTACTTTAGCGTAGTCTGTTATAAGTAGCTTGTTTCAGTTTTTCTGGCTCACTTTCCTCGATTTTGTTGACTGTATTTTCCTCTTAGCACCTCATTTTCAATACATTTAGCCAGAAAGACGTACTTTTTACTGTGTTCGGGTTTTGGAATATTTTTAACTTTTCTATTGTTGTTTTGCGTACAAAATTAAATCCCGTCGTCGTCTGCTGAAAACCATGGCTATTTTCTTGAATTTTGTTGTTAAAACATCTCTAATATGATTGGTTCTTGGTGGTTTCTTTTGCGTTTTCAGCCAATCAGAAACCATTTGTAATCTGCACTCGTGTTATAAATTTTGCTCTCGTGTTACAAATTTGCACTCGTGTTACAGAAGAACTGCACTCCTTTCTCAGCCAATCAGATTTGAGTAATTCTTTCGTGTATATTATTATATAACAAATATTGGGCAGGTAACCAGTTTGATCAAAATAAAAACAGATTCTGTAATTTGCACAAGTTTATTTGAGCAAGGCTGTCATCTCCTAGTTTTTTCTTCAGCACAGTAGTACAATTTTGGCCAAACCAATGGATCAGATAAACTTCCCTCTCAGTTAACCCTCTTCATTTCCACCATCATCATCGGCAGCATTAACAACATCATCGTTCCCATCAGCATCATCATCCGAAGCCGCAGTCTCGATTTTCGGGGGATAGCGACGTTTCAGGTCGCGATCTTCGCATATTTCTGAAGGGCGAGAGGCCACGTCTATTGTTTTGAACCAAGGGTTATATTACATTAAGAGACCCTGCGCCTATCTTAAAGCTGTCAACAATGTTCGTTTTATTGAGCAATCTTTCATCTTCGACACTTAATCCAGTTTATCTTAAGTGGACACCCAACGTAGTTGCTATTCACGTGCACTGTCGAAAGCATAATATCAAAAAGACTTCAAAAATTCTGCATTAGAGCTTCACTCTTCGTCTTTAATTTTAGCCGACCCACCCAATAAACAATAAATAAGAACAATACTACCGAAAAATTATTACAACTGAGAACTTGATGAATAAACAATGAAAACAACAAGTCAATAATCTATGTACTATTCACTTTAAAAAATCTCCCTCCACCTCTTAAACTTGGGCGCGCCGCCTGTAAGCCAAGAGGGAGAGGAGAGAATAATCTACTGAACTATCCAAACTAACACAACGTATGAAAACTGCAATTGGCTAGCTAGTAAAACATAAACTATTCAAGCTACTAGTTTTTCACCCTTGAAAAAACTCTTTTCACCTCTTAAACTTGGGCGCGCCGCCTGTAAGCTAAGAGGGAGAGGATAGAAAAATTCACTGAATTATCCAAACTAACAGCGCATGGAAACTGCAATGGGTTAGCTAGCTAAAACATGACGATTCATCTACGAGTTTTTTTACCTTAAAAAAGTCTCTCTTCACCTCTTAAACTTGGGCACGCCGCCTGTAAGCCAAGAGGGAGAGGAGAGAATAATCTACTGAACTATCCAAACTAACACAGCGTATGAAAACTGCAATTGGCTAGCTACTAAAACATGATCTATTCAAGCTACGAGATTTTGCCCTTAGAAAAAAAACACTCTTCCCCTCTTAAACTTGGACGCGCCGCCTGTAAGCCAAGAGGGAGAGGAGAGAATAATCTACTGAATCATCCAAACTAACACGGAATATGAAAACTGCAATTGACCAGCTAGTAAAACATGACGATTCAATCTACGAGTTTTTTACCTTAAAAACTCCCTCTTCACCTCTTAAACTTGGGCGTGCCGCCTGTAAGCCAAGAGGGAGAGGAGAGAAAAATTTACTGAATTATCTAAACTAGAAGCGCATGAAAACTGCTATTGCCTAGCTGGCCAAAACATGACGATTCAATCTACGAGTTTTTTACCTTAAAAAATAAATCTCTCTTCATCACCTCTTAAACTCGGGCGCGCCGCCTGTAAGCCAAGAGGAGAGAAAAATTTACTGAATTATCCAAACTAACACACCGTATGAAAACTGCAATTGGCTAGCTAGTTAAACATGATCTATTCAAGCTACGAGTTTTTTACCCTTAAAAAAAATCTCTCTTCACCTCTTAAACTTGGGCGTGCCGCCAGTAAGCCAAGAGGAAGAGGAGGGAATAATCCACTGAATCATCCAAACTAACACAGAATATGAAAACTGCAATTGGCTAGCTAAAACAAGATCGATTTAAGGATTGAGTTCTTTTTACTTAAAAAAGCTCTCGTCACAAAATGCGTTCCTATAATCCATTCTTCGAAATTTGGACCTGTAAATCACTATCGGTGATAATTTAATATCCTGCAGAAAATATTAAACGAGCTGGACCCAGCGTGACAAAAATTGAAGGAAACCATCACATTCACGGAATATCGCCCTTAGCTATTCAGATCCAGGAGGCACTTTGGAGAAGAATAAACAACCTAAAACTCTTATTTAGCCGCAAAGGAAGAGATTTACGTTTCAAAAGAGGTCGAAGAAAGTGCTCTTGCATCAGAGGGCAAATCATGCCGAACAGAAACAAGTGTCATGACCTCTCAGTATGAAAGGGTAGAACCCAGAATATAATATACCCACCAGAAAAATCAATTTTTGGAACACGAAGCATTTTGGCACGAGGTAAAAGTCGTGTGTTACCTAC